CCGATCTGTGCTCCTCCAATTGCTGTCTCCGATAAAGGAGACCAACTGCTGGAAAACGTCTGATACGAACGATATGGTAGTCGTGTCGCTTGTCGAAAAAAATAGGCTGGCTCAGCCCCAAGCGCAATCGCGGACACGCCCCATCATCTGCAGCAAATCAGAGTATGCGTTTACTGTTTAGTCATCAACGGACTTACGAGATGATGCCGACTCATTTAAATTCCAGTTATTTCGCATTTTTATGGCTGAAAAATTTGTCCTTTTTTCAAATATTCGAGTTCTCTACAAAGTAAGCTTCGCTGTACCGGACTCAGCACATTGACACCTTTGCGCTGCTCGATACTGGCTACGCACTCATTACGACCCCCCCCCTCTCCTGGCGGCCAAATACGACCCCCCCATGGGGATTCCCCAACCAATGCTGTGCCCTGTCTTCACATGCTTGAAAAAATCTTGAAAAAGAGGGTTTATCAAGCAATGGTGAAACGGCAATTATACCATCAGATAGCGCAAGAAATTCTCTACAGGATGTGCTACTGAGAAGCAAGGCAGAATGAGTTTTAATCAGCAGTGAATGTACAAAGAATAGGTGCACAAAACGCTGAGAACTTTCCGGACAACCTAATATCTCTGCAAATGGCAGCGACGCCGTCCCACGGTGCTGTTGAAATACGGCAGCCACCCGCCAACATGCTCAAGGATTTCGAGTGTGCGCATAGTGGCAACGTACCACCGTTAGCGTCATTTGGCAGATGCCTTACGGAAACATCGTCCGAAAATGGTTTTTTTTGAGTGCAATGAAAACGAAGTTTTCCTTCGGCCAGGTTTTTGGACCGTTAAACTTCGTTTTTCGCCGTTTTCCGCTATATAGCGAGCGCCCTGCTTAAGCATTTTAAGAACAAATACGCGAAATTACCTGTGCATGCCTTTAAAGAAGAGCTTTCTTATCCTCATTTCAAATAACCCGCCCCCCTGATACGCGGTTCTTGTGTGGAAGTCAGTTTGGCCCTGCGGCGTTTGCCTTGTTTCAGGTCCACTGTTCCATTCATCAACAACGTGGTGGAAGTGGCATTGTGAGGTAGTGCCTATCAATCCCTTCTTCATTTCTTGTTATCGCGATTTACGGTAAATAATTGCACCAACAAACTATTGCACCAATGCAATCTCATGTGATTGCAAGCAGTGCCAACCCCGCATCTAGCCTCGTGATATGGACTTCTATTGGTTACTCGTTTTCAAGAAGTCTTCAGGAAAACAGGAATAGTCGTGCGCGCAGAGAGCAACGACAGCGAAGGCTAACGGAAACAGATCCCACCGAAGTGGCCCATAATATTATCACGACGCTACACGAAAACAAAGCATCACGCCGTGAAAGTCGTCGTCTCGTAGGCCCCATCGGTTGTACGGCCACAAGTGTTGCTTTTCTGGCGCCTTTATTTTGCATTTTCCAAGTGAATAAAATAGCACACTTTCTGCGGCTGCGAAGCTGGTTCACTATGCACGGAAACATTTTGCTACCGGTTAATCGCTTCAAGAGCCTTCAGTGCTCGCGTTATGCAAAAAGAGAAATCTTAATAGAGAGTTAGCGTCTTCTGTTCTCCGGTTATTTTTTTGTTGGCTTTTTAGGGACGAAACCTCTTGCCGCTTGTGTTTCACATTGAGGGCCGGCGGACCTTCAATCGCTATAGCTTATCACTATAACTAAGTGATCCATTAGGGTCACAGGTTTTAAGTTATGAGCTATAGCTGACCTGTGACCCATAATGATCACGCTGAGGGCGGCGAATTTTGATTTTTTTTTCTCAGGGGCACTTACATTTTCAGAGATTTGGCAGGTTTGAGTTCAAGTGAAAAACGTGACGGTTCCTCAGGTTGAAGACTGCATTTCGGGTACTGGATAGTACTGTTTGCTTTATTCATGCGAATTTCATGACGGACTTCCACTGCTGCCTAGAGGACGAAGCATTTTCTTCGTACTATCGGGAATCTCCTTACGACCGCTACACTTTGATAGATAAGGAAATCCGACCCGTATTACCTTTTTTCTCTTGATAATGATTACTATCTGGAAACTGAGGACTTTCTCCACCTAAGAGGATCTGGAATGTAAGGGAGGAGATGGTTTCACCTTTTATACGCCGGGATAGGTGCAGCTTCATTTAATGAGTGAGCTTCTCTTTGTTTCTCTTGTTTTCATTGTTTCAATTTATATAAGTGTCTTGAAACTTTCCTACTGGCCAAACTGCTCATTTTTCAAAACATTTACAGTTTACACGTATAGTTTACACGTTTACAGTTCAAACAACGAAAAAATAGAAAGGAACTCAGCTAAAAATCGAAACTCTTCTTATGCAACATCTAGGAGGAGGAAACTTCATAAGTTCATGTATAAGCTCGAAGAATGAAAAAAGAAACAATAAGAAACTTACCTAAATGAAGCCCCTTGCTTTTTGCTCATTTCTATCCTGAATCAAAAAAGAAAATAGAAAAGAAAAGCCATTAAATTCCATCCACCTTTCCTCGAGTCAAAACGAACTCTAGTACCTGAGTCAATTGCAACTAAAAAAAAGCAGGAAATTAAGCCATTTCTCCTAGTAGCACTCGGAGCGGTCCAAGCAACAGCGTTCGGGCACGCTCTGACGTGTACCGACGATCGCGGCGATCGCCACGGCTGTTTGGAAAAAGACACGTGCAAAAAAATGTATGTGTCATCGTGCCAACTGCTCCGGAATACGGCTGTTTGCATGCTGCACATGCTCACATACACGTACATACAATCATGTTCGCTGCAGACACTAAGACGTTTCAGGAGGCTTGCGGCCAACTTTGCACCAATTGTCCTGTCCTGTGAGCTTCCGTACTCTTTCTTTCCAATATATCACTTAGGCGCACTTTGACGGCCGGGAGAGCAGGGAGGGAATTTTGCACATCCGCTGCTCCACTAGTTCAAGTCTCACTCTGGTGAAACCTGTGAAGCTCTTCGTGAATCTGGAGCAAACTCGTCTAGCCCACTAAGGTAGAACCTGCCGACTCTTGTAAGCTCATGGAGTGGCTCTCTGGGTGGGTTGACACGTCGATGGGATGAGACCGTAGTCGAACTGCCCCCATCACTCATTTACTATGAATCCACCAAATGGACCAATAGCTTTTCCTCCCCCCCCCCTCCATTCCCGTCTTTTGGGCAAACCTATTCCTTTCATCCAGAAGTCGCCGGTAGGCAGTGATCCGAAAGCACTGGCTGCCATTTCGTGGTCACCAACGATTTTCTTTCTCTTTCTCGCGAATGGTGCCTTCGATCGAAGCAGCTCAAAAAAAGTCAATTGCACAGTTGGAAAGCGCAGCTTCAGGTTACACGGTGGCTTTGCGTCTGTCTATCATCCCAGCTCGAAAATGTGGGCTCGCGTTGCCGGTTATCTCGGAAATGTGGAATCGCGATGTCGCGCAGCACGTAGAATTTTGTAGTCTTCAACCCTTTCTGTACAGGCTTTGGCCAAGGTTTGATCGATTGAATATGACAATTATGAATCGATCCTTATACATTCCATCAAACTCTGGAATGTCCTAGTTGGTTGTTACCTCCTTCAGCGAAGTGATTCAAACTTTCCTCAGATGTCGAACGGCAAGCAGATCCTACAGATCTGAGTACTGCTGGTGGTCGGAGCCCTTACTTACCCTGTACTCTCCCCTGTACTCCCTAAGATCCAGTAGAAGAACACAGTGGTACGATGTTGATGCACTATATTGGACTGCCTTTATATTTTCGAAAATGTCTTGAAGGGTTATAATACTTGTCAGGGCATTTGGTTTTTTAACACAAAACTTCCCATAATGCGAAGTTTCTGCTGAAGGACTTTCCTGACTACTAACGAGCCCCGTTGTCTGATATGAACCCGTTACTGTTCGTGCTATTTATTGGGAGCCTTCTGCCTCATCGTCAGCAAAATGCATTTTCACATTATTCCGTTCCTGGCTATACCTACGACACCACACCCTCAGCCGCTGTGGCTAAGGTACTTACTGAGTATTAACAAAATCTTGAAACCGCTCCTGCGTTATCAGTCTGATTGCTGTTACGGTCTGCTTCCCACCTAAAAACTATTCCTACAATAATATTAAACGGCGACGTCTGTCTGTCTGTCTGTTTGTCTGTCTGTCCGGAAATTCGGAACTACCTGAAGAGCCAGTCTCAGGGGGCGGGTCAAGGTTGGGATGGGTAGGGCATGGGCCAAGATGTACGAAACACACGTGAACTAGGCTAAGCCCCGCCCACTGTGGGCGGCGCGTGCGCATAGTTGTGAGCTTCATATTTCAAAAATTCGTAGTTCGGTTCCAAAAAAGCCCCGAGAGCGGAGAAAAGTGGCAAACGATAGGCAATCAGTTCGCGGACGAAATGACTGAAACAAACCCATTCTGTGCAGGGCGTTCTGTAGGTAAGCGGTGCCTGCTACGAAACTTTCAAAAATTCGC